TGTAAGAAAGATACTAATAGTACTGCTTAATTCACTCTGTTACTCTATATTTGTTATACTATTGTGTTGTTGAGATATATGCCCGCAGAGGTGCGCAAAGTTGGTAGGGTGACCGACTCGCTTGCCTGACCGACTCGCTTATCCGTCACGTTACTTAATAAGCCTTGGATGAAGGGTGTATTTGCCGCCCTGCTTTTCAAAGAAGGTCTCAACATGGCTCAGAAAATTGCTCCCATCGTTTGTTATGGCTTGTTTGTTGTTGAGTTGCTCTGTTGGCACGGTACAGGGCCGGGACTAGGCCCTTAATAGTGCAGGGCTGCGGGATACACATGTCGCGTTGCGGTTCGTGGGTTGTAGTGTGAATAGGTAACGACATGAGCGCATGGCTCTAGACCATGCACCTCCGCTCTTCTCTTAGCCAAAGTGCGGCTCATTAATGGGATTCACCTCAACAACGACGTACCATGATCTAAAGGGGAGCCATGTCTCGAACCACAATAAACTCTGCTCTTCCGGTCATCTAATCCAGCATTGAGAATACAAACACAGGATCAATTTGATATGACAAGTGTATGCAAACTAGCAAGGTCCATGCACCCACTGCACGTGACAAATTTGGAGATTGCCCATTCAAGCAACCAGCGAGTACCTGACCCAACTTCTAACCATGGCCGCAACACCGAAATATGACTCCTCAGTCATCTCATGAACAAGCGTACCAAGGCTCGCACGCGGCCCCACTCAACCCGTCAATGGGGCCGCAACTCTGGGACTGCACAGCCCAGCAACCACTCACTTCAACCATGGTACTAGCAGTGATGACCACCAAGCCATTGTCTCAACAATCCAAAGATTGAGTCGCCCTGCAGTTTTTCTTTGTCAGCCATAAAGGCTGAGCAGAGCGCGGAGGAAAAACTAGAAAAGACCCGACCCCCCAAACAGTGCCCCTCTATATGCACATATATCTTCATAAATAGTATCCCTCTTGTCGAGGGACTCCTGTCGGAAGGATGACAATCTTCTTCACCGGGGTTGAGCAGGGGGTCCCTACCTTGCCTCAGAACATCCCTTGCACCAGGCATACCGCAATCCTGATAGTCAAACCACAGTCATTGTCACCGTTCTGGAGACAGGCCGTAGGTTGAGTATTTGGGGACGCTGTCTACCCTTGCGTATGGGACGTTTCGAGGGAGGAAGGAGTATGGATCGAGACGAGGACCGGTGATGACATAATGCCTACATTTCTGGGTTAGATTCCATCTTTCGCTACGGAAGAGCAAGTCATACCTGGAAGTATTCGGCACTAGCTGAGGTCCACAGTGATCGTTGAGTCCATGGCTGATGAGAAAGTGTGGTGGAAGTTGGGCGCGCAGTGACAGAAGTGGAGGAGAATAATGAGGATAGCAATGAATAAGAAGGCAATCTGCAGCAAAGACCAGATGGCTTCAGGCACCAATGTGAGCAAGTTGTGCAGTAGAAGAGTGTGCAGTAGAAGAGCGTTAGAAATATTTAGCGGGAGCGCGAGCNACTTGCAAATAAAGGGGGGGGGGGGGGCTGCCTTCTTTTTCTATCCTAATTTTATAACAACGGAAGAGCGTACGAGGCAAATTACAAAGCAGAAGGCGAGGTGATGAACGCGGGAGGAAGAAAGCGTTGTCGTGGAGGAGGAGCCACTAAGCAGGCGCAGAGTCCCGTGAATCATAAAAAATGGCAACTTTGATACTTTTTTACAATATGAAAAGACCGTTACAGAGATAGCTACTGATCTAACATTTCGTAGTATGCTAAGCAATTCTAGAATGCTCACACGTTACATTCTCGAGGTCGGCAACACTCAAATTCTCGTCTGCTTCTTGTTCGATAATCAACCCGCTTTGCAATATATTGTTCTCATATACGATACCGTGGCACGCAAAGTGAGCAACTGTGCAAGATGTTAATGGATACAAAACTCGCTTCTCTGTTGGCTGCTCAGGGCAGACCGTGGATGCCCAAAACATGGTATGTGTCACAATTGCCTCCACTTCTTAAGCGAAAGCCAAAGGCGTATGTCGAGGGCTTGTTGGCATGGACACCACAACAACATTTGCATTCTCATCATGTATGGCAAATTGAGGTTTTCGACAAAGCGAGTCTAGCGCCACAAGACTTGGAGAACACGAAGAGACAACATGAGTGATAGTGTCATCAGTCAGTTGACCCGGGAGTGTGTGATCCTGCAGCGTGGAGCGGCAGCAATGATGCAATGCCACTGACAACCCACCTTACGCGAGGTAATGGTTTGGGCTTGGGGTCGTGCCTTAGGAGTCTTGGTGCTTGCAAGGCTGGCTGGACTGCGTGATTCCAGAGGTTCAGCAGCGCTGAATGCAACTTAGGATTATGATTCTTGATCTTGTCGCCGTCAGCGCCATCCTCTTTATCCAGGCATAGAGAAGCGTCTCTGCGGCGCCTGTTACTATTGAAGGCCAAAATCTTTACATTTTTCTCAACATCCGGTCTTTGTAACCCTGGTAGTGGGATTGCAGCGATTGTATTCTTACTGATTAGAAAAGCTTCGCTACCCACGTGGCTGATGTTTAGACATACGGCAGGGCCTTCCCTGGACAGAGCACATATCTCATCCCTAGAAAGTGGTTGCAAGAAGCACTCAAAGCTAGGCTGCTGCCTTATCGCTTTGATTACTTGCTGGAGGGCTTCTTCTAATCGTCGGAGATCAATATTGCTGCGCCTTTCTATTGAAGCAATATCAAGCCGTTCATGGTTCTCAAAACCTGGGAACCGCAAGCCCTCGATATTCTGCTGAGCGATTGCATAATCTCTTGTTAGGTAAGAGTAATGTTTTCGAAGACTGTCATCCTGATATTTTGTAGCCAACAATCTGCTGTTCACAACTCCACTGAAAGCTTCTAACGTTTCAAGCGCTGTGAGGAGTGGTGTTCGTGCTCGTATTGAGATTGATGCCGAAAACGAAGCCAATCCTGACACTTTACGAAGGCGGTTTTGAAGATCTTCAAGTTGGAGAACAACCGAAAAGGCCTCTGGTAATTCTTCTCTCATCCGACCAGCATTTCCATCGCTTGTGACTATGGTTCCTCTCTGGCTAAGTTATCAACTGCTATATGACGAACCAGAAAGCGGAAATAAGCATTGAGATCATGATATGTTAAGGCTGATTGGAAAGCTTGCGTCGATTTTGCTAGATTATCTGCGTTCTGGAACATCTGGAATCGGGTTTTAAAGGCATAGCTAAGCTTCTAGAGATGTACTGCCCTACCCCTAGATCTCTCTATTATTATTTTAAAGGTTAGTTGTATGTACCTGACGCCTTAACTAGTGTCTGAGTACAACCGCGTCTGGTATGATCGTCTTAGGAAGAGAGATCCCAGATGCGACAGGAGATTGGCCTTGCACCATTTTGCTCTTGAATCCAGCGATATCTCTGAAGCTCTAACACCAAACTCGATGGCGTGATCCAGCAGGTGACGGGAGCCTGTTCTCCTGAAATCTTTATAAGTACATTTCGGACATAACTAGAAGATGATCGAAATCACTCGACTATCTCTTGTCAAGGGCATACGCACGTTTAATCAGCTCAAAAGACTCTTGTAGAAATTCCTTCTAACCCGATCTGTGAAATTATTCTTTGCAAATAAGTGCAAGACATGTGAATATGCTGAATGCCCAGCGCATCACGACATCTCCTTTGCCATCTCGAACTACACGCTATGCGTAGCCAAGTAATTCAGCCGCACTTTACGCGCCGTAGTGCCGCTTTAGTACAAGTATAAGTATTAGTGCTTACTATTTTGCCACCCCATTTCATGTTTCGCCGTAGCACACAACTTTTGTCCTGAATTTAGTCTGGATGCGGTTTACTAACTTCCAAATACGGGGTTCAAACGGGCTTTAAGGTTGAGAGAGAGACAATTAGTTCACCATCGCTATCTGTCAAAATTCGCAGTTCCGTGTTGAGGTCGATTAACTCGGTTACCCGTTTTGGGAATCGCGACCCCGTCGCCGCAGCCTCTACTACTATAGCCGCAAATAACTACTAACTGTGAAAGGTTTGGCAGATAGGAGAAAGAATATTAGAATAGTATTCGAACGAATTCTTGGGGTTCATTCCAATAATTGGATAGTAGCTTTTATATCATGTAGGTTCTTAGCTTTACTAGCCCTAGGGGTACCCGATACGGGCCCGAGGGCTGCTTCTTGAGCCTTATGTCCAAGTCACGTCACACTGTAGCGCCTTAGAAATATCGTAAAGATCTTAGGTAGTTGCACTGTTTCTCTTAATGCCGTCGCGATAGCGTTATTTAGCTAACATTAAATTCTTTCTAACTTTACATTATAAGAATTTATCTTCTAGTTCACACAATTCAATTTCTTTAATTGCTTCTGGAGTTAGATTTGCAGTAGTTACAACGGGCTACGCTTAGGGAGTAGATATATAGTTTAACTACAGTTGTATTTAATAGAGAACTATAGACCTATATATAAGAGAGTTTAGTTATATCTAAATAGTGCTTAAATAAATAAGCTCTTCTATAGCTCTAAGCGTTACCCTGTACGCCTTACCTAAATTTCTCTCAGAATTAAGCAGAATCTAGGTGCGAGTGCTCACACCCGAATTCTATAGTGTTGCACCAAGATTCTATCGAGGATAGCATCATAAGAGTTCAGCCCATCACAGGCGCTAGCCTATCATAGAAGGATGCGACGCCCAGTCGCTATTGCATAGTTATGTAACTACGTATTAACATATGAAAATATATAGAAAGGTGCAAAAAAGAATCGCAAAATAAGCTCTCCAGCGGGGAATTGAACCCCGGTCTCCCGCGAGCTGTCAATTGCTTGACAAACGGAAATACTGACCACTATGTAACTGTGCTGGTTGCCATCTTGTCCGTTAAAATTTCTGTTTTAAGTGACCATTATCCGTTATAGTACTAAGTAGTGTAGTAAGTGGTCAAAGCCTGGAGCTGTTCACTAGTTGCAACACTCCACCAAATTTGGTGCCACCAAAATCAAGGCTACAGAGCCTCACGAAAAAAACAAGATCGGGCGATTTTTCTAAGTAGAGTAGTATTATAATACTGCGTTATATTGCTATTCACTTAAATTTCTTAGTTAGTTTTATATTGCTGCCGCGCATGGTGGGCTGGGCGGGCGGCGGTGTAGTTTCACCACTACTTTGGCGGCGCGCAATACCACCATGTTTTGATATTCTTGACTTATTAGAAGCAGGGACATTTTGCGTAGCTGTATTTCACCGATCGCTAGATTTTTTCATATTTAAAGTAACTAGCGCATTGTTGTTCTTTTTTGGCGCGCGGGACAGCTAGTTCAGCAGCCCTTGCTTCACTCAACTGCCGCGCTATTTTGGCCAATTTACGCACCTCTCCAGCCTCTTCCACCAGCTTCTTTTTATATGCGACAGCAGCAGCTCAGAAATCTCTCATATCGTATTTCCAGCGTTTGTTTTTCAACGTTTTTCAGCCTCCTCTTCTTGTTGTTTTACTAGATGATGATGCCGACCGACCCTCCACATGACCATCTGCTTACACCCGATACTGCCCGTATCAGATAAGACGTTGACCACAGCGCACACGTGCTTATTCTCGCAAAGGACTTTAGGGGCGCGTTAGTATTAATAGAGCTTTGGCGGACACTTAATTTGAAAGTGCTGCTAGTATACTGCTTCGGTGCCAGCTTTGTCACATTCTACAGGCTCATAGGCCCCTTTAAGAGTGAAGCTGCGCCTAGGATAACAAAAATAGAATTGGGAGGGACGACCATGCGTAGAGGGATCCTCGGCAACCTGCTCTTTAGTGTGAATAATCTAACGAGTTCGAAGTGCGCAACTTTACTGATCCTGCCTAGGTGATACTTCTATGATATTCTATAGTCTGATTAATAGCGCTGCATTGCTCCTCGAGCCCCCGCATCTTCTGCTGCGGGAAAAAAAACAGCTGTGTAGATCTTCTTCACGTTAGCCACACAAGTACTGAGCAAATTGCACTAGCACATCTTAACTTATACACGATCTGTGCCGCGTCGACAAGGTATCCCGAGACTAGTCTTGGCTATTAAGAGCCAGGGTAGCGCTTTCAAGGCGTGTTAAGTTATGAAACTGAAAAGGAATGCGATACGGCTGATCACAGCCACGAGTCGTTGATATGAGTGTGGGCGGTTTCTCACTTTAACATCCTAATTAGGAAGCCCCACTTGGTGCTCCTGCCACCTCCATCGCGCTAATGCGATACTAGTGCTAACTATGCTAGAGGTCTTGGCCGTAGCTTTCTCGGATGGATGCCGCCAACCTGTGTTCTGCACTTGAACTATGCAATCTTTTCTGCTTAAAACCGATAGCAAAATGGGTCCTGGAATCGTGCGCTGTTTAAGACTGATGGTCCTCGGTCGCTTCTGTGGTGCTGTCACCGCACCTTCTTCAAGTTTGACCGCCCTCTTTGCTGCAGCTGAGCTATTTCCACTATAGACATGACTTCCTGCGACGGCTACACATGGACTCCAGCATCTGGTCTCACAGCAGGCGTGCCAACCCTTGGAGCTATCAACCCACCCACCAATGTTTCAACTTCTGAGGTCGTTTACGATGTCATCGTTGTCGGCGCTGGGTATTGCGGTCTCACAGCTGCGCGTAATGCTTCGGCTGAGGGCTTGAAGGTGCTCTTGCTCGAGGGTCGAGACCGCATTGGTGGTCGATCATGGTCATCCAACATCGATGGCTACCCATTCGAGATGGGCGGCACGTGGGTGCATTGGGGACAGTCCAACACATGGCGCGAGATTTTGAGATACCAAATGATGAACGATGTCGAGAGGTCCTTTGACTTCTCGCATGGCGTGAATCACTACGAACTGAACATTGGACAGCAGGGGTACACAATGACCCACGACAAGGAGGATGAGCTCCTTATTTCGGCTCTGAATAAGTTCACAAACATCGACGGAGCTTACGGAAGGAACATCATTCCTCTTCCGTACGACACGTTCCACATCCCGGCTGCAAAGGACCTCGACGAGCTGTCCGCTCAAGATCGCATCAATAAGATTGAATCAGAGCTCTCACCACAAGAGCGCGCAGCACTCGAGTCGTTTGTTCTACTGTGCAGTGGCGCCACACTTACTACCATGAGCTTCCACGAGTTCATGCACTGGCAAGTCTTTCAGTATAATCAAGTATTTCCATGCACTGACGACTTCCAGGTGGGCCATGTGCGGCTATACCTACGCGGGCTGCATAGACATGCTCATCAGTTGGAAGTTCAAGAACGGCCAGTCGAGCTTCGCCCTCAGGTTCTTCCAGGAAGCGCTTGCAACAAAACGCCTAGCATACGCTTTCAACAGCCCCGTCAAACACGTCAAAGACACAGGCCGCACAGTCGAAGTGACAACACGTGATAGACGCCGCTACTCCGCTGCACGACTCATCTCAGCTATGCCACTGAACGTCTTGGGAGAGGTCACATTCGATCCACCACTCAGTGCTGGCAAGAAGGCAGCCATTGCGACAGGTCACGTCAATCAATGTGTCAAGGTGCATGCCGAGATTTCGAACAAAGACCTTCGGTCGTGGACAGGCGTCACGTACCCGCACAACGAACTCATGTACGCGATCGGTGACGGCACGACACCCGCAGGTAACACGCATGTCGTCTGCTTCGGTGGTAGCAATAAGCACATCGATCCCGAAGTTAACATTGATGCGACTAAGCGTGCTATAAGCAACATGTTCGCGCAACAAAAGACGGAGCCCCACATAAAGAGGCTGGTGTTCCACAACTGGTCAAAGGACGAGTTCGCCAAGGGCGCTTGGTTTTTCCCGCCACCTGGCCTGATCGCCAATCATCTGGACGATATGAGGCAGAGGCACGGAAATGTGCTGTTTGCAAACTCAGACTGGGCGTTAGGCTGGAGAAGCTTTATAGATGGAGCGATCGAGGAGGGGACACGAGCAGCTTTCGAAGTCAGGAAGGAGCTGGCCGAGCTCGAGCCTGTAAAGCCCACGTTGTAAACTATGTAGAATCAATAGCCCGCCCTCGAGACATAAACTCAAGACTGTCGGAATGTGTCCAAACACAGTGCCACTCCTCAACCATCGTGTCAGAACGCGGGCTCAATCCGCTCCAATAGAAGTTGTGGCTAGGACCGAGTTGTGGCATTGATGCCGAAGGCCAGACCGCGTTTCATACTATCGGCGCCGAAAGTATCTTGCCGTGTATGCAATAGGTGCCTAACAGCGTGTGATCAGCCCTAGTAGCACCAGCCCTGCATTCGAGTAACGTCCCACGGCCGTGGGCAGTGCGGGCTTGCCTGATTAGGGCAATAAAGGGAGAACCCTAATGACGGCCATCTATCTTGTGGCTCGCTTTCCTCGTATACCAAGCCATCAATGTACTGGTTCTGATGTACAACATTTACTTACTTCGTCGCACTATGTGGGTTCATGACCTCGCTTGTAAGTCAAGGAACAAAATTTTACGGCTACCGTGGCGCTCTTACTAACGGGATCACACACACACCAACCTTTAAGCAGAAATTCTTCATCGAAACTCGTCAATTTTCTATTAGATATAGGGGTAACACGTCATAAGAAATCGATTTCCGCCACCTCTAACGTGTGCAGCCTTCTCGTTAAGGTGCTAGAGGGGGTATTATCGATTTTCCCGCGACGTGTTCAAAATGCGAAAATCTTCGAGAACGCACGGATCGCCCTACCGTCCGTGCTCACCCAATGCAACAGTTCAGCCAATGCAACACCAGCCGCCCTATTAAAATATCTACCTATTATTTTTAATATATAATATCTCTACTACTATAATACCGATTAAAGAAGTAATTATAGTAATTAATTTATAAGATATAGAAGATTGACTTTTATATTATATAGCTATAAAAAAGTTTAGTATTAAGCTTATAATTGTAACGATGTTACAGCCTCGCTAAGTATCGGACCAATCCCAGAGCCGGATCGGAGGAAGTATCAGCCGCCCCTTCATCAGCTACTCGTTTCTCAGTCGGATCCGATTCGGACCCGACTAGGACAAGTATATATGAAGACACTCGCTGTAGCTAGCTCTGTAGACTT